TACATGCCCAAATAAACCATATAATTAATAATTATGATAAACAAAAACCTTCTGTTATTGTTTCATGACCAAATATTCATATCCGAAACATAAAAATTTTGACGAACTCATTTCGAAATTCATTTCATTTCGTGTTTCATGAATTTTCTTTTCATGCTCATTTTCTTCAATCTCCATTTGAATGCTAACAGGTGTCTTTCCATATTTTGTATACGTTTTCTTATGCCCAAAAATTCTTTGTCAAACGGTTGAACCCTCTTCAAGTGATATTTATCATCTATTAAGCAATTGAAAGATTATGAAAGCTAAATTGTTTGTAAATAAAAGGGGTGATTTCCGTAATCAAACACTGTTTACTATGAATAAAAAAAGAAGTGATAAATAAAGTTGAAGAAACTAATGCCACAGAACTTTTCAATTAATTGATTCAATACCTCTGCTGTGAATACGATTTATAAGACATTAATGAATAATGCTAATGTACAATCTCCAAATTCGATTATCGTACACGCATCGCAGTCACATTTCCTCTAACTGTAGTCTAGTTGTATGAACATACAATAATTCAACCATCGTTAAGATAAAGATTTGAGATAGCACTCAGAGATGATACAAAGAAAGAAACGGAGCGAATAATTTGGAGTTACCCTTTTATAATTACAGGTTAATTTGTTGCATTTAATTTACCAAATAAAGGATTTCTTTGAATTTTTTTTGCCATCTTCAACATTCAAAAGCAAGAACAAACACATTCGAAGTTATTTGTATAAGATATGGTGTGAATTGAAAGAAGATGATTTAAAAACGTTTTTTTTTTTTTGTAAATATATATTCAGTGTCATTTTGTCTTTGAAATTTAAAGTAGAGGAACTCAATCATATTGCTATCCAGGGATGACATTCTTTACTATGCCTGATAAGGGGGGATGTGATGGCAATATTCCATACGGATTCTAGTGTAAATGAGGTTCTTTCGGTAAAACATCTAACAAAAAAGGGGGTTTTGATTCCATTCCGAAAAAAATGATTACGGGGGAGAGAATTTGGCTCAAAAATCTGTAGAAAATCGAAAGAATCTAGAGTTCCCAAGATTGTCTTTGGGGTTCCCAAATTTTTTTGAGGTAGTAATCCGATTCCTAGGAACCCTCTTCAACACCTATGATAATGAAACAGTGACACCACACACAAAATGTGGTTGGTATGCTTCAAAATCCGGTTCTGATTCGGGTCCAACCGACATGCAATAATCATATTTGACTATTGTGAACAAAATCATATTCCGTGATACTCATTTTGAATTTAAACAAAAAAAAAAAACTATAAACTCAATGGATTTGTGTCGCAAAAACATAAAATTTTCATTGGTTGAATTCAAAATAATTTTTAATTGCGTAAAAAAAGTGTTGATGTATCAATCGAAAGAATATTTCATAATTGTTTGGAATATAGCAACAGTACGTGTAATACTATATTTCGTTTCAGTTTGCTAAAAATGTACTTCTCCTTCAATATTGGAAACAGCATTATTTCGAGAAATGGAAAATTAGTGTATTGTTCACATATATCATTAGGGTTATAATTTTCTACGGGAAAATCATAATTATATTTGTTCATAATTTTTTTTTTTTTGAGTGGCCTTTCGAAACCCAGTCGAATACCATTGAAAGTTTTCAATTTCAATAGAGACGAAGTTAATGATTGCAAAATTTTTTTTGCTTGACATAATTTTTTTTTATTCTTTATCGATACAATGACTGTATGTGTGTATGTGTGTGTATATATATTTAATTGCTGGATATACATTGTATCGATTCATTAAATAGAAGCAGGTTTAACGTTATTTGATGTGCAAAATTAAGCATTTTGTGCAACACATTCCCTACCTTGAGATACGCAAATTAAATTGATTTTTTTTTCGTTGAATGGCAAGTTTTGGCGAGCGTGACATTTCTCATGAAATAAATTGGTTGGATAAACGTACGAACGCGAGAAAGAACATGCATTTGATGAATAAGGAGATTATAATTTGCCAAGCGTCAAAATCGATAAACCAAGACATGCTCATACTATGCTTGGTCATTCAATCCATATTTCGACTTTCGATACAATAATCAACGAAACGAAACGAAAAAAAATTGTAGCACTGAAAACAATTGTTCGGTTTTATTTTTATCCCTCTTCATTTACCCTTGTGCACGGAATAATTTTTTTATTTGTGAAACATGAAATGCATTTCGTGTATTTCCTACAATGCATCACATACAACATCATTTTAATCGTACATTTTTTTTAAATAGAGGAATGCCTCGCTTGCTTGCTCACGCTAAATGTCTGTTGTGAGTGAATTTATGATTTGATTCCATAATATTATTATTGTTATCATTATTAATTTCGATTTGAATGACTGACAAAAAGAGTCGGAATAACATAGCACCAAATCGAAACAGTGTATACCGCACGAAGAAAAGATTGAAGCAAATTGACGTTATCACTTTTGACAATCACATTTATGCTACTCTCTAACATTTATGAGCCAGATCCCATCAACATGGGATTCCCATGCAAATGTTTTTTTTTTTCGTTTTTCCCGTTATTCTTCACATTTTCGCTACCGCATTTGTCCTATAAAATAGCCCATTTTAGCTAGAGGGCAGCACAATTGCGGTTCTCAGTACATATGACATTTTACCTTATGGATAGTGCAAGCCTTTTAGATTGAATAAAGGAATATAGGAATAAGCAGCTTGAAAAGGGAATTCATTCTCTTTTTTTTCTCGTGTCAGTCGTAGTCGTAGAAATTCAAATCGATGTGATTTCGAATTAAACGTTGAACACAACTCTTGGCGGTTCATCTCGAGGTCTGAGCTAGCTTAGCCAGCAGTATTTATTTTGTACGAATGCATTCAAATCAAAAATGCATTTGCTGCCAAAAAAACAGCATTTCGTTATTATTAGAGTATTTGTCGCAAGTATACATGCAATGCATTGTCATCATTTCGGGAAGAGTGATGATGAACGATGAATGCTAAATACTTGTCTGTCGTGCATTGCATTATTTTTTTGTTATGTTGTTTTGCTTCATTTAAATTCAACTGATTTACCGGTTACCACTGTTGTTGTTATTATTATTATTGCAAACTCATTTCTGTCTCGTGATTTTTGTGAAATGTTTCTTTTGGTTGCAACGTTATTCGGGTACTTTTATAGCGCTCACATTTTCAAACACGATTGAAAAAGAAGAAAAAAAACCGTGATAAACTACGATAAAACGTCAACGTGCGTTGGTGGTGCAGTATTTTGCTCATATTATTGATGTTAAGTGTGCGATTAAAGGTAAGAAGGGTATCTCATCATCTAAAATACGGAATGAACTTTCATTATTTGTCATCACTGCAAGTAACCGTTCCATTTTCGATCTCAATCTGAATATTCGTTTCACTGTGTTGATTTTATTTGACGAGTCTATGAAAAACCTCTCAGTCAAATACTTAAAAGATAATTGCAAATACTTTTACACGCAAAGGATGCATCAGCATTTTTTTTTTTCATTTTCAATTCACCTTACTACTGAATGAAAGTGCATGAATTTTCGAATTTCTTCTGACTGCTGGGAAATATTATGGTAGCCAACTTCACGAACTAAATGACGCCGACACCGATTTAAAATGATATTTATTGTCAGCATAGAATAACTGATAGATAACGAATGTGTGCAGCCGATTTAAAAGTCATGTACGCATGTCGACTGGATATATATGTAATATATAATATTGAACATTGTTTTTATTTCAGTGCTTAAAGGTTCTATGTGTCGTATGAACTTAAACAGAATTCGCTCATGCTGCATCTGTCCAGGGTGTATAGGTTGGATTTTACATTTTCCCTAGAGTCTCGACTCAAAATTACCCCCTTAAATTTTCGTAATTTTGGTACTGAAAAAAAATGTTTTTTTTTTCGGTTTTTGGCGAAAAAAGTGAGGACCTTTTTTGGTCGTCAATTACCGAAATGAGCGAATGATTCTACCGATTTGCTTATTTTTCACTCTAGAAAGAATGGACTTTGGGGTCAAATTACCCCCTAGATTTTTCATTAATTGTTTAAATTAACCTCTTGAGTTTTACGTCAGAACCTATATTTATGCATACCACTTGATATTTCCAAGAAAAAGCGTCATCTCAGATACTAGGGGGCAGACACGTGGAATAGGATTAGACTTTTAGTGTAAAGATTCGTGAAATTGCAATGAAAGAGCAACTCCTGTGAATGGATTCGCGTGGAATAGCGAAACAGTGCATGGAATAGCAAAAATTGTTTCACTTCAAATCCATTTGACATTTCTTTTGACGTTTATTGATGGATTAGTGGAATAGTGCGGAATAGCAGAATTAGCATTTTTGACGGAAACAGTATAGGAAAAATAGTTTCGACTTCACATCTGTGTTTTTGGATTAGTGGAATAGCTGGAAAGGTAATTTATATAGTGGATTCGGAATTTATTCTTTGGTGTCTCCCCCTTAGCTCAGATATTTTAGATGACTTATGCTATAACCCGTCATGTACATTTTAGAATTGGTTTTCCAACATCAAGGTGGCAATCGATATCAATCATAAAGCTTATTTTTTGGCTTATTAATCTCCACCTTATCGGAAAACACTGATGTTAATTACCCCTTAAAATTGGATTATGTTACAAATTTTCTCATCAAATACTTTATTTTTCGGTCAGAGATTTTAAAGAATTTCATCGCAGATTTAATACTTGATTTGTGAATTCTCACTTTTGCAAATCTCGTTTTTTTCTCTTTTTGTTATAAAAACGTTTTAAAATTTTAAAGTTTCACATATCTTCATGCATACGAAAAAAAATATTCATCAAAATATAATAAATGATAAGTAAGTGGAAAAAAGTGTGATTCAAATACGCGTTCAATAAACAAAAAAAAACTTACAATAAATAAAACAAATAAAATGAAAAAAAAAACAAAACAAAAAAAAAATTACCTGATTTATTGATCACACACAAAAAACCGGATATGAGGAAGTTTTGTTGCTGTTGTGTCGTTAGCTTGTTGAGTTGCTTTTGTTGGTTTTGCGGATGTTAGTTGCTATTATTATTTAGATAAACTTATTTTCTGAAATGAGAGAAAAAGACAAATGAGCACGATACAAATGTATGACAATAGTGTTTTCAAATTAAAGTGTGCTGGTTTGTTTTGTTTATTGTTTCGTAAATTGTTTTGTTGCGTGGTTGGATTTGATCTTATTGCATTGTGGTTGGAGTTGATTTGAGCGCGAGAAAAAGAGAAAATGGGAGTTGCTCACATTCAGAGTGTTTAGCTATTTATTTAAGCTAATCTTTCATTGAATGAACTCGTCACTTTTTGCTTTTTAGTCAGATTTTTCGATTTCGTTATTGAATTAAAATTCGAGCATTTGATTCTCTTGCGAACAATTCTTAACTAAATACAAAATAATTACCACATATGGAAACTAAACATACAATTTTAACCAAAGTAGAGAAAAAAAGATGGATCTCCTATAAGGTGGGGGAAATAACTAACTTACACTATTGTAAGTATATGTGGCAGCATCATTTTATTTAAGTGTATCAATATACTGAATTCATTTTGGCATTTGTCGTTATTTCATTTAATTTGGTTGCGATACCACCTTTTTTAAAAGCTTTTAACCGAGAGAAAAAACGCTTAAATTACGGTAAATAAAAATTGATTTTTTTTTATTCATCTTCTCAAAGTGTTTGCGTTGTATAGTAGTATATATATTAGCTGTTTCGTAGCCCCAACTTTTTTATCATTTAAATTAGTTGAGTCTAATCAAGACCGAGTGTCTCAGATAAAAACTAATCACTCGACTTATTTATTATTGTGTTCAATAAGATAATTCAAAAATTAAAACTATATTCATCAAACTTTCTTGAAATAAACTATTCTCGAAAATATATGTGACGATAAGACGCGAAAATCACAAATAATAATGATTTTTTGAATGTCATATTTTACAGTTAAAATGTATATGACAGCTATTTTTGAATTTATCCTTATTGAAGTCATACTTGAAAAAAGAGAAAGCGCGTTGTAAAGAATACCAAAGAAATCAATGATTTATTCAGTATTATTGGTCCGTCCATTATATGGTTATTTCTCATTTCATCGATTCGTATAAGAAAAAGCTCCGAGAAATTTAGTCAACGTTAAGCGAACACATTGATGAGGAACCGACCGCGTAGCGTATAAAGTCTGTGCAATGCTAGTGAAAATTAGAGACCAATTTGTGAGCACAATTAATTGAACTAACCATTTATTCGCTTATAGATTAACAGACCTGGGCAATCTCATTCAGTGAATAAAATCACGGAAGCATGAGAGAATAGAAATAGCGAAAACGTACTGGATGTGTAAAAGTAAATGACTTTATATTAGATCAGAATTTATGAATATCCGCCAAACGGAAAGATATGTATTCGTTGTCATTATATATATAAATATTCTTTTTTCTCCGCTCGATTGGTGCGCGTTTCCTATGTCAATCGCAGATTAGCTTTGAGTTGGCATTCATTCGCTATCGCGCGTCTTTTTTTTCTTGCAAACTGAAGTGAAACGCCGAATACAGGCAACGCGAATTCTACTGATAAAAAAAGACACTCATACTTAGTCGCGTTTGCTTACATAAACAGGTAGATAACGCAAACAACATAAAAATGAATTAATAAAGTTTGCTGAGCTGAAGGTGCATCATCTCTTACAATTAGATTATGTACGCGCAAGGTGACTGTGCTGGGTGCACCAAATATATGATACACGATAGTTCTTTGTCAGTGAGAGACCATGCATTACTCGTTTTTTTAATTCCTATATATTCACTATTTCTACAGTCTCTTTTTTTCATTTATGGATGGTGTGCGTGTACAAAGCTTTGTATATGGAAATAATGGCGACAATTATCTACATTCCTGTAAGCAGTGCAAGGAAAAATGTGAAAGGCAAACTAGATTGTACAAAGATAACGATGACGATGGTTTTTTTTACAGAAATGTTTTTATACAATCAATAACAGATCTTTTCGCGTAAAACTGAAATCACAATCAAAATTTAATTTAATTTATTTTTTCGTTGGAACTTATTCAATAAATCTCATATTTTAATCAAAATTGGTGAAACATGTGTCTAGAAAGAAAGTTTTTTTTCGGAGTGATAATTTCATTCTTACAATATTGAAACTTGATCATCTTTTTGTGGAGGGATGAGAGATAGGAGCAGTGATAGTTTTTTCCTATCTGAATAGCGCTAGCTATTCGCAGCGTCTGAACAGCATTGCTGCCCAGATGCTGAATCGAAGCGGTTGCCGCACGCGTTTTGTACCACACAACATATTGTCATATAGTCTAAGTAACCAGTGAGCTCACAGAGTATGATACACTAATACCGTAGTCAGTATACAAACGCATGTCGAACAGAGAACGAACGCGAACGTATATGCTCTGTGTGGTACAAACGAAGTGTGTTGCGCGTGCGGCAACCGCTACGATTCAGCATCTGGGCAGCAATGCTGTACAGGCGCTGCGATTAGCTAGCGCTATTCAGATAGGAAAAAACCATCACTGGATAGGAGCATTTACTCGAATTTCAATATCATTCTTTGAAGCCAATATTTGTTTGTGTCACAAAAGATTACTTTATTTTTTCGATTTTTCATCTTTTTCTCTCGCTTATCCAACACCATACCCGGTTAATTTTGTATGAAGCAAATAAATGTCAAATATGTGGTTATATCATAAATATTCAACCGAACAAATGGTAAATTTATCGAAAGCAAAATCAATACGATAAGGCAAGTGAAATGTTTAGATATGGAAATAAAATAACAAATGCGATAATATATGACTTATATGGATTTCATTTTTTTTCTACCGCTAGATACGCGTGCGTACCCATTTAGAAATGAATCTAATTGATTAAAACTGAAGGAAAGAAATGAATGTAGTATGTGAAATGATAGTGAGAAAATGGCCCCAACAAATAAAATAGGTATAAAGACGACATCATTGGATAATTTGGACTTACATGAAGAAAAAAAAAAACAATAAATGAAAAAAAGCAAAAGAATTCTTTTTGAAAAAATACTTAGATTGTGAGTTTGTGTAATACACTCAAAAAAATAATATATTTTTCAACACAAGGCTTTCTGTCATGAAACAAAATTTTGTTCAGTAGATAAAACATTTTCTTATGTTCCATGTTGTTGCTAAAGAGCAATACCGTAGTATTTGCGTGGATTTTAGTTTTGTTTTCGTTGAAATGCATTCCCATCAATATTTCTGTCTATTTCTATATTAAATGTCGGCTTTAATTTGCATTTATTTTCAGATTATAAGTACTAGTTTCACTTGTAATTTCAATATATCATTCAAAATGTTGAAAGGTATTATATATATTTATTTATTTTCATCACTGTTTGAAATGCAAAGTTTAATGGTGCTTAGATAATGGCGTGGCTGTACTTGCATAATCGATGAAATTCGATCGCAAAACACATGGTTTGTTTTGTTGTTTTTTTTTTTGTTTCTTTATGAAACGCCACGATTTGAACTCATGATCTACCTTTTAGGTCTGATAAGTTGTTTCTTGCATTCTTCAATTTCAATGCCGATTTAATAATACATACATACACACCGATTCATTGCGAACAATGGTAAATAAAATGACAGCTGAAGACGGATAAATAACCAATTCGAAATATGTCATTTTTAGCGTATTGTACCTGCCATTTCAAGTACAGAACATGAAAGAAAACTTTTTATGGTATGATATGTACGATATTGGACAGCAAAATAATTTTTCATTCGCGCGTCTAAATAATGAATAAAAAAAATGTTACATTATGCATGACATGATGAAATGTACAAATAGAGCAATGAAAAATCAAAACCGTACATTATGATAATGTGTATATACATGTACACAGATGAAATGTCATAATATTCGAAAAGCCGAAATATTCTATTGTGCGATTTGGAAAATTGGTTGACAATGATTTGCTCAAATATTGAACTTTTCATACAAATTAAGAAATTATTATGTTTCATAAAAGAAAATTCAAGTTGAAAAAAGAAAAGAAAATACCATATTTGCAGGGTAGAAATATTATCAATTACCTGACAAGAGTACGAATAGTGCAACCGGTGAAAAACAAATTTATGATGTGTATGGTGTTTTCTGTAATCCAAAGAAGAAGAGAAAAAACATCAATTAGAATAGATTGCAAGTTTTCTTTTCGATTTTAATTTATACGGTACATGATAAATCGATCGAAACATTTTGTTAATAAATCGCCGCCCATAAAAAACAACTTCAAGTAACTGATTATAATACTGTGTCAAAAAAAAAAAAAAAGAGAGAGAGATATAATTATAAGCATTCGAATCGAAATCTATTGAGATAGATTGTATTCTCGTCTATGTATAATGTTCGGTTAATGTTCATTTATATTGATAACCGATAATTTCTTTTATTCCAACAGATTTTTAAACCGATTTTAAGCTATTGTATGAATTCGGCATGAATTCAAATTCATATATAATGCATAAAGACGTCTTAACTCAAATCAAAATGAAAATTGTTAATTGGACACAATTTCATATCATTGAACAAGACCTTTCAATTCAATTTTGTCCCGTTGGAATAAAAATTAATTACCATTTTCATCATCCATTCACCGATAATCAAAATTATATAACATACTCCTTTACGAATCGATACTCTGAGGTGTGGACTTTTTTCTCACAATTTATTTTAATTGATTTCGAATTGAAAATTTCTGATCAATAGACTAGACATTTAGGTTTTTTTTTTTTGTGTGTTCGTTAACAATATTCTTTATCGTTGAAAATGGTTTCAATTTCCTTGCATAAATTAGTCTATCTCAAACAATCAACAACACTGAAGCAACAGGTCATATTCCCGAAACGAGAAGCACATACGAACAATGATACCGATATACCGTCGGATGTACTGTGCACACATTGTAGCAAACATTGTAGGGGAGTTTAGATTTGAATGAATCTAACAAAAGTCACCCAGAAAATAAACACTCAATGAAATTTCAATAAGAACTATTCATGTTATTTCAATGGAAAAAACACGCACACACACACAAATAATACTTTAACAACAAGAAAAAAACTGTTTTTTTTTGCTTGATAAAACACGAATATTATTAAAAACAATCAAAAAGTATTACCACCAACTTATTCAACTCGTTTACTAATATCATGTTAATCAAATTATTTCCCCATGATTTTTTTCTTTATATTGTATTTATCATATTTATTATGAATAGTTTCATCCAAAACAATTTTAAAGATATTTTTGTATTTTCGATGTACAAAAAACAGCTCATTTTGATAATTCGAACTTTTATCAACCGACGGAAATGTTACAGACTATTATTGAAATCTTTGTCGGTGTTTTTTTTTTATTTTTCGTAATAAAATTAGTATTTTGTCTGTTGTACTTAGGAAAGGGGGCGGATTACACAATTGAATTTATCTTGAAAAGATTAGTGATAAAGAATGAGTAAAATTTCTATTTACGCCCATTTCTTGCAAACTACAACAAAGTGATTAAGTTATCAATTGAAACCAAAATCGTTTTGTGTTCAACATATTGTTAGCGTTAATGGATACATTCGATTTTCGATTAAATGGAATTCGTTAGTTATTTTTTCGGTTTCATTTAAAAATTGTAGAAGTTTGTTTTTATTATTATAAAGAAGAAAAAAGTTTTTTTTTTTCTAGAATATTGACAGGAGAATGTACACTTCTATAGTAATTTACCTAATCGTAGCAGGAAAACAGTATTTATTCTATTGTTAATATATCTTTGCGAAAAAAGCACTTTGGCCGATGTCAAAAGACATTCAGCGACATCTATAGTTACGTAGATCATTCACATTATTTTCTTTTGCCCGAATGTATGCGCCACAAACGGTGTTTATTTTACACTACACATTATGGTTATTTAAATCACAAATTTGTTTTTAAACTTTCGACTGTTGAGTTTTTGTCATGTGTGCACATGTACTTCGCTCGACTCTCGCACAAATCTATTCTACAAATTATATACTAAGTAGATTATGAAAGTTAAGTTTACACACTCTTAAATTTAAGGGGAAAAAATGTTAAACATTTACTTTTCTAAACAAAATTACAGTTAGACATTTTTTTATCAAAAGAATCCTAAATATATTTTAGTTTGATTCGGAAAAATTAGTTTTTTTTAAATTAATCGAAAAAAACAAGATCACATAAAATAAAAAAGTGTGTTTTTGAAAAGTATATTGATTGAAATTTGGTTTTTTAATTATTTTTTTGAATAAATCAAAAACTGAATATTGATCATATTTTTCATAAAATGAGTCTATTTTGTGGTGTCACATTGAGTTAACTTTACCTTAGATTCACAGTTGGTTAAAATAAAAGGCTCGTAATGAAGGGACTAAAGAACAAAAACTACACCAACACTAACAAAATTAAAGATAAAAAAATATTGCTGAGTATATCACTTATATATCAGTGGCATTCTTCGTTTTTTCATAAATTTTTTCTTGTCCATATTTTCAAACAGTTTTTTTTTTTTTGGTTTTTTTATCACATGTCCACTTTTAACGTCCTTTTACTTTTTATATATGTTAATTTTTCACTTGTTCATTTAATTTAAAACCGCTACGTTATCGTCCAGAAAAATGCTGATATTATTCCAAAATTGAGCATTTATTTTTTGCAGCATATAATCTTGTTTGTAAAACTGTTTGAAAGAATTCAGTAAAAGTTTGATTTTGAAACTAATTTTCATTTTTTTTGTTTATCTTTTTTAATTGTTTTTTTTTTTTTTTTTTTTTTTTTTTGTAAATTCCGATTTTTAAGCAATCGAAAGTTGTAGGAAAATTGTCTTTTGTTTTATAAATAAAACACTAGAATATTTTTTTTTATGTATTCCATTTAAATTACCGTCGACGATTTTATCACATCAATTCATCCTCGCTGTAAGAGAGTTCATTGAGATATGGTAAATTTTCCTCGACGACAACACTATATAATAAGGATAACTCCTTGCCTTGATGATATCTCATGAGTACACATCTAAAAAAAAAAAAAAAAAAAAATATCCCTTACGAATGAACCTAGTCGTCGCCGTTGCAGAAAACGAAGAACTGGTATGAGTCGGTGTCTCTATAAACTAAAGAAGATGCCACATTTACGTAAAGGGGTGGTTTTTTTGGTTTTATAACTTAAAGAAATTCGGTAGTGGGGTAACTTGAGACAGTATACGGAGTACGGATAACGAGTGGCTGCTATCGGTCATTTTCACTTGTATTTTCTATATTTAATATATTATGTCCCAAACATATTTTAATTATGTGTATACGTGTGTTTGTCGACTGCTTGCCTTGCCAACTCGATCGGATTCGTATAATATAGAAAATGTATATAATATGTACTACGTCGACACTGGCTCGTATAAGTCCACTTGGTATCTCAGTCGTACTCGTCGTCTCCGTTTCAGTAGTTATAGTTATATGTATATACCTATATATGCCTATATGCATATATATCTATATATATAATGTTTTAAAGAACGAGTATACACACAACATGCGATGTAACTGTTATGTTAGTGAACAAAAAAAAAATCTTTTACGCGCGCGTAACCGAAGATGTTTCTAAATGTTTCAGCAATCCCGTTTGACTTTTGGCCAGCGACTGAAGAAGACTTGAGAATTTAAAGAGTACGACGACGACGACAAGCAATTATTTTTCCTTATTTTTCGTTACCATCGCCGCCTATGTCTGCAATTGTACGAAATACGACACCGATCTGCGGAGACACCGAATTGTGTGCTGATAGAGCAAGGGGTAAGCATGCGCAATTCATCCAAGCATCTCATCGTCTCATAAGCAGTAAACAAAAGCTTAGCCTCAAATCTATTCCACTCCACCGCAGACTTCTACACGCTTACACGCGGTGTATGCGATACACAGAAATCTACCATACACACGATTCTATACGCAACTCCATCCAATCTCATTACTTTTGCTACTCACTGATGCTCGCTGCAATCCTTAATAAGACCATCAACAAACACTGATACTGTGCGTGTACCAATCCTGCCTATGTTGTTTTTCTATGTTCGTTATCCTTCTACGCTCTATTCATTACTTATGTGCGATTTACAGCAAAGATGGTACAACATGCTTACCACTTTTATTTCGAGTACAGGTCTAGAGAAAAAGTTTATTTATTGTGTGTAATCTGTTTCTACCGTACAGTTCAGTTCTATCCATCTACTCCTAATTTTTCGGTCTCTCGTCGACACCGTTGTCGTTGTCGTTACCACTACCACCGGCAGCAAAGCTTCCCTAGCTCTTGACTTTCACCAATTTTCCACTTTTCCATTTCTTCTCCATGTGTTATTAGTATGGCATCTCGTTGTCTTTGTTGAAACCATCGCTTCTTTCTACTCGCTTCGATGACTATCTGCGAACATATATGTGAGCGTGTGTGTGTGTGTGTGAGAGTGTGTTTATGTTTTTTTCCACCCTCTTTTTCATATCAACCCTTGTCCAACGCTTCAAATGTTCTTGTTTTCATTTTTCAGTAATTGTCATCTCTCCTTTGAGTTAACGGCTTCAACTGGTTCATAATAACGCTAGCTATGACCAATTTGAGAAAGCTTTTTTTTAACATGCACGAAGCATATATTTATCTCTTAAGTCAAATCAAACAAAACTTGTTTTCACATGTAGGGGTAGTTTTCAAATACACCAATGCAACAAACTAGTTACAGTAGCACATTCAAAAAATAAAGATCCCAAGATGTGGTGTTTGAATTTTTGTGAAATGTATTGAGTATATCGTTGATTATTTTCTCTTTTATGTTTCAATTTTCTTACTCTTATTCTATCGATATACAACATATTTAAGAGCAAAGAAAAACTACAATGAATTCATGCAAATTATGCTGTGAATTTTGATGACACCATTTTTCGAATCACTTACCGCAAAAGACAGTTCATCCTACGAAATCCAAAATGAAACTCTTTTTGAAACGTAGAACCGAATCCGAAAGATCTCAAGCGGATGAAATAAAAAATATTCTAATCGAATTCGAAATAATTGTTTTGAATATTTGTTTCGTATGTGTTTTTTTGCCTTTTTTCCTTTAACTATTGCACACTTTCCTGATCCACTCTCACTTTTTTAGACATCGGGCTACATGATTCAATTCATGATTGTTCTAAATGAAGGACTTGTTTTTTTTTTTTTGTTTTTTTTAAGGTCTTTGTTTTCACTTCTGTTTTAATCAATGAACTTTCGGAAAATATTTTATATCAAAAACACTAATTATACACCGAAACAAATCATGTTTTTTTTTCTATGAGTTTGCATATTTTAAAGGGTGATAAATCCTGTTTCCAACTTCGAACGAAAATGAAAAAAGTGCACACTCGTACCTTTAGTTTAGTTGAACGGAAATTATTAAACGTCTTTTTTGTAACTTTTTATTTTTTGTGTATACATAGAACTTTTTTTTCTTCTTCTTCTAACAACCAACCGAATAAATTTTGCCAAAGGAAAACAATTTTCTTTCATTTAAATAAATATTATTTTAATTTGACTACATTTTTGTTTTTAATTTCTTTTCTTTTCGAAAGTGTATAATATATGTAAATATATTTTGACAACAATATACTTAGATTTATTAGTAGTTTGGTTTTTTTTCGTGAATTTGTGTGTATATTTAAAGATAACAAATCGCTTTCTTTTTCCAGTTGTGATAATTTTTTTTTATTAATGATTTTTTTTTTTGTTTAATTTTTATGGTGGCCAAAATACGGAATAAATTTTATAGAAAATTTCACTGTGTTTTATTTTTCGCATAAAGAATTAAAAATAAATAGAAGAAAATTATTGCCGGCATCACGCGGCTGATGGCGATTACGCGTATCAACAATGACGCTGAAACAGCGTGACTGGAGCATCGCGACGCATTAAAAAGAATCAGACCAAATTATACTTCATATATTGAATGGGAATTAGAATCTCGGTATGATGAGTGATTTTTTTGCTCATTCGGTATTTTGTGTTGTATGTTTCATCTCGTTTCGCTGTTTTATTTGTTTCGCTAGCTAGGTTCCTTGTTTCGATGATAGCTAGTCAATATTCCATGCCTATGCAAAACACATTCGGTCATACATACGTGTATATGTGTGTATATATAAAATTCGCGTAATAAACAAACGAAGTTTTAAAAAAGCCGAACGCATTTTTTTCACAGTTTTTCATCATCGTCAGCTCTGTTGTATGGGAAAAACTTTGGCGATTTTTTTCCAGCGATCTAGTTTTGAGTGGTGGGGGTGTGTCCCATTACAATAGCGCTTGCGTCAAAAAAATATTCGTCCCGCCTTTCGAATCAGACAATTTTTACTCAACAAACTAGCTAAAAAGCGTTACGAGTGCACACGAAAAAATTGAATGAGGGACACGAATAAAAAAAAGATATAAAATCCCTGAAAACTGAAGTGAGACGAAAAGTGCGGAAAATTATCCATAGTCCCTGTTCAACCACTGTGGTCGTCTACTGTGTGAATGACTGCAAACGTCCAGCGCAAAAAAAAAACGCAAAGTCGATGAAAGAAGACAACGGCTGTTATAACATATCGTATATGTGCGTATCACAAATTCTCGATATCTCTGTGTACTTCCATAGATGCTCGTTGCATACTCATACACATCTCTTTAAACATGCCGCGTTTAAATTGTCTTCAATGCTTTAGACAGACTTCCATAGCAAACGAGATGCAATGAAGTTTTCAAATGAAACAAGTTTTAAACATCATGAATTTCATTCTTTTTTTTTAGCTCGAAGAGGTATGAAACGTGTTGGTTTTTGATTAAAAAAATCATTTTTTATGTAACTTAATTATGATTAATATTTTTCTTATATAAATTCAAGTTTGTCAGCCAAGTTTGCCGTTCACTGATGTTGCTCAAGTACACTACCACCAGGTGGCGCCAAAAAATACAGTTAGTTTTTTAGTCATAATAAAATTTGTATGTGCCACAATCTATAGCTCATAGGAATTGCCCGAAATCACGGTCTGAACAGCATTATTTTAGAACCGAAAGCTTGTACTAAATATCAATGCATTTTGAATAGAAGGATATGGCGATCTAGTGATTTAGTACTTCGTCCCCTAATTTCCTGATAATTGTCTTCTGATAGGACTCTTAAAAGTAGTCAGTGAGATAATTTCACTAAAATATTTCAAATAACGGTTGAAAATTGTAAATTTCCATACTTGAGAAAGGTAGACCTTTTTTAAAAATTATAATTTAAAAAAGTCCAGATGGGTAAGCGAAAAAACCATTTCTATCTAGTGCAGTAGTGTGCGGAGGGGAGAGGAGATAGTTTGAAGAAGTCTTTCGATTTGCTAGAGT